GCGGCCCTTGCCGCGCTGCTGCTGCCCACGCTTCCTGCCCGGGTTAGGGACAGTGAAGGAGCAGCCGCGCACTCCGCCGCCGCTGGGCGGCGGCGGCACGCGCGCGGCGGCGGCCGGGCCCGCAGGCGCGGCGGGCTGGCCACCCGCGGTGGCACCCTGCGGCTGCGATGCGGCTGCGGCGGCGTACGTCTTGGGCGCCGGCTCCGCGGCTGGCGGCGCGGCGGCAGGGGCGGGCGGCGCCGCAGGGCTCGCGCTCGCAGGCGGCTCCGTGGCCTGCGCCTGCCGCTCGTGGCGCACGGCGCGCTCGAGCTGCGAGTGCGGGTGCAGCTGTACGATGACGTCGCCGCTCTGCGTCGCGGTGAAGGAGACCGAGTACGGCGCTTCGCCGTCGTTCTTCTTCTCCGCGTAGACGAGCGCGTAGTCGCACACCTGTCGTTGGTGGTCAGTGAAGATGGTCTCTGTGCAGCGCTCGGCGGAGCCGACGCGAGAGAAGTGCCGCCTGAACGCCATGCGTTCAGGCGCTGTTTGAATGCCCAGTGTTGTGCGAGGGAAGAAGAAAAATTCTCTTTTCCAACACCACCGAGCTCGACGCGGTGCTTCGGAGCTCTCGGCACTGAACCACAGCAAATGTCTAGCCACGCTCTCGCTCGCAGCTATATCCTCGCGTCGGCCCTGCTGTGCCCGACGATAGCTCTGGCGTTGACGCCTGTCGCCTCGTCAGCGTCGCGCCGCGGCGCTGTTAAGCCGACGTTGGCTCCGGTTCGGCCTCACGCTCAGAGGACTGGCCGGCCGCTGCTCAGCGCCGACGCCGCACTCGCTGGCGAGGGCCCGCCCAGCCAAGGCGCGGCGGTGGTGCCAAGCATTATCAACCTGGCAAAGAACATAGTGGGCTCAGGTGTCCTCGCTCTGGCTGCTGGCGTCGCCGCCATATCGGTGTACCACAGCCTTCCCGAGATCTCGGCCGCAATCTCGCGGGCGCTTCTCTACCCAGTGCTCACGCGTGTCACGTCGACCCGCAGGGCAACCGGCGCGCCCTCGGCCCGGCCCTCGTCGTCCTCTTTGGGCTCGGCGGCGTCTCCGCTTACACCTTTTCGCTCATCGCACGGGTGGGCGACGACGTTGGTGCAGAGACGTACTTTGACACGTGGGGCAAGGTGGTGTCGGAGCGCTCTTCGGTGCTCGTCTCCGCCGCGATCACCTTCATGACCTGCGCGGCCGCCCTCTCGTACGCGATCATCATCGGCGACTCGTTCTCCTCCATCGCCACGCTCGCCGAAGCACCGGCCCTGCTGCAGCGCCCAAACCCGTGGATCCTGATCGCCTCGGTCGTACTGCTGCTCCCTCTCTCACTGATGCGCGACCTGTCGGCGCTGGCGGTCGGCTCGGTCCTCGGCAACCTCGGCACCCTCTTCACCGCCGGCTTCACCCTCCTCCGCCTCGCCGACGGCTCCTACGCACCCGGCGGCCGCTTCCACACCGCCATCGCAGCGGCGTCCCGCCCCGCGCTCAAGGCGCCTGCTATGGCGAGGCGTCTTGCCAGCAGCGCTACTCTTACTCCTCCTCACGACCGCCCCTTCTAAGGCGAGCGAGCCCGCCCTCGGCCCGGGCGTCTTCGTGCTCGTCTCGATGCTCGCCACCGCCTACGTCGCGCACTACAACGCGCCGACCTTTTACAAGGAGCTCGCCCCGCCAGAGGGAGGAGGAGCGCCGGCACACCCCGCAACCCGCAACCTCTCCACCCTCGCCCGCAACCCTCCCACGCCCTCGCCCTCACCCTCGCCCTCATCCTCCCGTCACCCTCCCATCACGCTCCCTCGCCCTCGCCCTTCCACCACTGTCCACGCGGCCCTGCTGCAACCGCATGCCGAGCCGTGCCCCCCTCTCCCTCCCCGCCGCAGGCTCGAAGCTGCCGCGCTTCAACAAGGTCGTGGCGGGCGGCTTCGCGCTCGCCGCCCTCCTCTCCGCCGCAATCATGTCTGGCGGGTTCCTCACCTTTGGCGCCGCCACGCAAGGGCTCCTCCTCAACAACTACGCTTCCTAGACACTTCCTAGACACCTCCTAGACACTTCCCTGTGAACAGGCTCATCCTCAACAACTACGCGACGACGGACGCGCTCGCTCTGATCGCGAGGGTCGGCATCGGCGCGTCCATCGTCTTCTCGTACCCGCTCAACTTCAACGCGATGCGCGGCGGCTTCCTCAAGCTCCTCCGCCTCGACATGTACGCGCACAGAACCGACCTCCATGTCGCTGCCACCGTCGCGCTGATGACGGCCTTCAACGGCCTCGCACTCTTCTTAA